AAAAAATGACCTAAGAGTGGACCTTTAGTCAAGATTCTTACCTACCCTCCACCATCCCAAATGCCACTACATACATGGTCCCAGAGTTTTTAAACTGTGTAGAGCAAAGCCTAGTGGCAAGCCGCTGCATTGCATTCCTGAAAGCACCTGGTTCGAGACCACCCAGCTTCTCCTTGAAGAAGGGATGGACAGCCCCCCCCCCATGAGATTAACTGCCTCTGAACACCAGCTGGAGGGTCAGCTGTGGGCCAGTTCAGACTCTTTGATGCACAACAACGGAAAGGCTGTATTTCCAATATATTTTACTTTTACTATTTAGTAATTATCAAAATGTCGGTAGATTTATGGTTTTGAGAAACTGTGTCAGTAATAAGGCATTCTGGTCGCTATGAGTCATCTACAACTCGACGGCACTTAACAACAATAACAATGACAGCATAGAGCTACGCTGGCCTAGTGGACAGAAAGTGATGCTACCAAGCCCAAGGTGGGTGATTTTAATCTGTGGTCCTCAGGCCTGGTCTGAATTGTTTTTTGTCAAACGTTCTTTTATGTGGTATAGCACTGGTCTGTGCATTGTTGTACAGAGACAACTCGTGGTTGCTGTGATGCTGAACACTGTGACACTGATGTGTCAAATGCGATAATGGTTACCCATGGTGGACAGTGTTTGCCGGAGTTTCCTGGCTCAGCAGGAGTGGCATCCACTTCCGAAATCCACTTGCCTCCGGAAACTCAATGAACAGTGCTCAGGTCTTTTGTTCATAGGGTCTCTATGAGTCATCTACGACTTGATGGCACTTAACAACAACACACTGGTATTGTGACTAAGGCATTTAGCTGCTAATTTAAACAGGTATCCTGCTTTCATAAGGATTTACTGCCTCAGAAACCCCATGAGTTGTTCCACGCTGGCCTGCAGGGCTGTATGGAACCGGAAGCAACTTATTGATGCTGGGTTTGGTATCACATGTTGGTTTCTCCTACTGAAAACCAAAGTGGTCACCACCTCAGCCAGTGAGTGCCTGTGCAGGCATCAGGCAAGACTCAATCAATGGCACACAGTGTACATGCATGAAACCCAATGTGTGTGACTAATGACAATTTAAAGAAAGGGATCGAACAATGTATTGCATTGGGTCAGTCTGCTACCAACAGACTTCTTCAAGGGCTGAAGAATGAGAATGTCGGTCAGTTTTCAAAGCTAAGATGCACCTGACTCAAGCAAGGTGTATTTTCTGTTGTCATACGCATATGAAAGTTGGACAGTGAATGTGGAGCACCGGAGAAGCACGTACACGGTTGAAGTGTGGTGTTGAGGAAGAATATTGAATATACCATGGACCCTAGAAGAACAGCCAAGTCTGTCTTGGATGAAAAGCAGCTAAGTGCTTCTCAGCAGTGAGGCGTGTGAGACTTGATCTCACGCATTCAGCATGCTTCAGACAGAGGAGCTGTGGTGACGTTGGATTGATGCGGTGACGTTGGATTGATGCAGTGACGTTGGATTGATGCGGTGACGTTGGATTGATGC